AGCCCGTTTACATTCAGGGTAACTATTGAAAGGTATGAATTTAGTGCCATTATATTATCTTTAAGGTGACTCTTACTGTATATTTTCTCTGTTCCCCTCTGGTCGTTTCTTTTATGTTCTCTCTTTGATTAGAGGAAAATATTTCCTATAGGGTTGGTTTGATATTTGCAAATTCTTTTAGTTTTTGTTTGTCCTGGAAACTTTTTATCTCTCCTTATATTTTCAATGACAGCTAGCTGGGTATAGTATTATTGGCTGCATATTTTTCTCATTTAGTGCTCTGAATATATCAGGCCTGTCTTTTCTAGCCTGCCATGTCTCTGGATAGGTCTGCTGCCAATCTAATATTTCTACCATTAGAGGTTACAGATCTCCTGTCCCAAGCCGCTTTCAGGATTTTCTCTTTGTCTCCAAAACTTGTAAGTTTTACTATTAGATAACAGGATGTTGACTTATTTTTATTGATTTTGGAGGTGATTCTCTGTGCGTCCTGGATTTGGATGCCTGTTTCCTGCCCCAAATTAGAGAAGTTCTTTGCTATAATTTGTTCCAATATACCTTCTGCCCCTCTCTCTCTTCTTCTTCTGGGATCCTAATTATTCTAACATTGTTTTGTCTTATGGTTTCACTTATCTCTTGAATTCTCCCCTTGTGATCCAGTAGTTGTTGATCTCTCTTTTTCTCAGCTTCTTTATTCTCCACCATTTGGTCTTCTATATCACAAATTCTCTCTTCTGCCTCATTTGTCCTAGCAGTAAGACCCTCCACTTTTGATTGCACCTTTTTAATACCTTTTTTTAAAATTTCAAGTTGGTTAGATTTAAGTTCTTTATTTCTCCAGAAAGAGATTTTACTTCTCCAGAAAGGGATTGTCTACTGTCTTATGTGTTTTTTTCAAGCCCAGCTAGCATCTTTATAATTTTCATTCTGAACTCTAGTTCTGACATCTTACTAATGTCCATATTGATTAGGTCCCCAAGCTGGTACTACCTCATGTTCTTTTTATTTTATTTTATTTTATTTTTTTTTTGAGGTGAGTTTTTCCACCTTTCCATTTTGTCCAGAGAAGAATAGACAGGTGAGAGAACAAAATGCTAAAAGAGTAACAACACCAGAAAAATATACAATAACCAAATCAGAAGAGACCCAAAATCAGGGGTAGAAGAAAGAAGAATAAAATATATGGTTAGGCTGATAAATAGAACAGAGCCACACACTTGATTTTGGGTGTATTTTGGTCTATTAGAGGAAACTGCCTCCCAAAATTTTAAAGAAAGAAAAACTTACATATATATATATATATACATATATATATAGATATAGATATAGAGATAGATAGATAGATATCTATCTATCTATCTATCTATCTCTATATCTATATCTATATATATATGCAAGAGTAAACATGATGAAGGGATGGGATGACTTTAAGGATGAGAATTAAAAAAGATTTTTAAAAAGGAATTGGTAAATAAGAAGTTGGTTGAAAAAAGGTAAGAAAAAGAAGGGAACATGATCAGGCTGAGACTAGAACAAAGTCATATGCTAGATTTAGGGTATATTTGGTCTGTTAGAAGAAACTGTATCCCAAATTTTAAAGAAAGGAAAGCTTATATGTATACAAAAAATAAGGTTAAATACAATGAAGGGATAGAATATGACTATAAAAAATGAAAATTAAAAAAAGATTTTTAAAAGGTATTGATAAGATGAAATAGTTAAAATATGTTAAAACAGGAAAGAGGTAAAATGAAAAAAAATAGAATAAGAAAAAAAATAAAATTAAAAAAATTTAACTTCGAAAAAGTAAAGAATCATGGGGTGGGGGGAAGCAATGAATTCTAATGTGCTATATTCCCCTAGATCTGGAGTTTTGCAATTCTCATTGATCAGTAAACTTGATCTTGGCTGGATATTCTTGCTGATCTTCTGGGGATTTGCAGGGATTCTCAAATGACTTTGCCCAAGGCAGAATTGCACCACCCTTGACATGGGCCAGGTTCAGAAATTTACTCAGTTTTTCTCTCAGTAACTTTTGTTCTCTGAACCCTTTCTGTACAGCTATGGAGGGCAGGAATGAAGATGGTGGCCTCCCAATCTCCAGCTTGGAGGAGCTGAGAGCTTGGGGACCCCTCTTCAGTGAGCCCTCAGAGAAAAGCAATCAAACATTCCTGTCTCCCTGGTTTCCAGCCATACTCCAAGTTCACCCAGACTGTGACTGAGCCTTCCTATCTCTGGCACATGGCCAGGCCCATTTGGAGTCTCCAAACCCAGCAGATTCCTGTGGCGTGCTCTTGTACCACTCCTCCTTGGGGAGGAAGGGGAGGTCTCCCTGGATCTGCCAGTTGTGGATTCCCTGCTTGAAGAGTAGTGGCCTGACAGTGCCTCAGATAACAGTTTAAGGTAATCCTGAGCTGAGAGCCTCCTCCTTGGCTCCATCACTGCAGCTGGCTTCCCTGCTCCAATACCTGGGAGCTATGCCACACTCAGGCACCCCTGGTCTTTCTGTGACCCTGTGGGTCCTGAGACCACACACATCCCAGTGAGGGCTCCAGCCCCCACTTAGCCTCTGGAGTGATGTCCCTCCATGGAGCAGACTTCTAAAAGTTCCAATTTTGTGCTCTGATGCTCTACTATTTTCTGGGATCCAGCCCCTCCCCCTGTGACCTATCTTCTTGTATATCACCTCAGACTCACCTCTTTGCATGTCCTACATTCCAGAAAGTGTTAGCTTTTCTGTTCCTAGAATTGTTGCTATTCTTCTCTTTGATCTCCTGTTTAGCTTGTAGATGTTCAGAATGGTGTGATAACTATCTAGCTGAATTCCTGGGATCAGATGAAATTTAGGCCTCCTAATCCTCTGCCATCTTGCTCCTCCTCTCCAATGCTCATGTTATTATTATCCCCATTACATAGTAAAAGCAAATCCAATGTGATGCACTTCTGTTACCCATCTATATCTACCTCACAATGTAGCGAGACTCAATGTGGAGTGAGGATCATGGACATTTGGCAATGTCTGGCTTTAACCTCATTTATTAAAAAAAAATATATATATATATATATATCTCATTCATTTTCTCTTCTCATTTTAGAACCCAAGTTATAGTTATACATCTTCATATTGTCCTAATGATCATTGAGGCTTTGTACATCTTTTAAAATCTTTTCATCCCTCTCTTCTTCAGATTAGATAAATTTTATATGATGGTCTTCAATTATGCATGATCTTTTTTTCTGCCATCTTCAGTCTACTAGTAAGCTCAGTTAGTGAATTTTTCAATTTAATTATTATACATTTCATTCCAGAGTTTACTTTTTAATATACTTTACCTGCTGTGATTATCTATCTGTTCATTCTTTGACATTATATTTTCCTCTAAGAACTTTACCATTGTTATAATATTATATATAACAATATTATATATAACATATAATAATATGTTATAATAAGTTGCTTTAAACTCATGTCTGCTGATTCAACACCAGCTTTTGCTTTTTATATTGACTATTTTTTGTCTTTATCATGGGTCACATTTTCCTGCTTCTAAGAATACCAAATAATTGTTATTGCATACTCAATATTGTGGATGATACAATACAAAGATTATGAAATGTATCATCCTTTTTAAAGCCACGTTAAATGCTTTCTTATGGCAGTTAATCTACTGATGGTTCTCCTTGATCTTGTTATGGTTTGGTTTAAGCTTTATTTAGAGGGGTTCTAGAGTACCCTTTCAGTCTCAGGCATAGCTTTTTCTGGTGTCTTAACCAAATATTCTGATGTTAATGACTTTTCTCTACTCTTCTGGACTGTAAATCCATTATCTTCCAGCATTATGTATTTCTAGTATCTCTGTCTCCTTAATGCCACCATGGTGACTCTTTGACAGGACTTTCATAGCTTCACATTGTGCAACCCTTACTACATATTATATTGTTTGCAAGCTGATTTTTCAAGTCATGCTTACTATGGCACCTGACCAACTGTGAGTTCATAACCTCAAAAATAGTTACTAAATTTATGTTGTGACTTTGCTGAATTCTTTATCTATATCTATATCTATATACATATATCATAGATATATGTATATAGATATACATATATCTATATGTATATATACATATAGAAAATGTATTTTCTATAAGCATGCAAAACTAACACTGGTGGAGGTATTACAGGCTAGTTTATCTTGCTCAAAAAGTACTATGTTGGTTGAACAAACAAAGAATAAAGTAACAAATACAGAGAAAAAATATGAGACACTTTGCAAAGATTTTGAAATTGAGAGAATGCCCTCTTTTCTGAAAAACATGTTTAAACAAAAACAGCTTTTATATCACTCTTACCCATTATCTGTTTTCATACATAAAAATATTGAAAGTTAAGTAATACACCTATCATAAAGAAAGATTGGTATAAAAATGTTACATAATTCTAAAACCCCTGGAATTTAGTGTTTTATTAGGAGGACTTTGGGCATCAGAGGATAATTCGTGAAAAGACTTTGAACTTTAGTGTGTAGATTGTAGCTGAAAAGAATGATCACTTTCTTTTTTGATGGTTAAGTTGCTATAGGCAATCAGAACTTTTGTTACTGAAAGACTATTTTACTGATATTATGTCTTTAGTCCTCAAAAGTGTATGAAAAGCTGTGTCCCTTTACACTAATGTAATGAGACTTTTCAGTGTGGCAGATTCCCAGGATGTGACTATATTTTTATGATGACTTCATCTTTAGAGCATAGTATCAGATGATGCAATTGATTTGTTCTTAATCTCTAGCCCAGCTTATTTTAAGTGGCACACTTAGAACTCTATTGTCAGAAAGAGTCTAACTTGACTACTTGAAACAATCTATGCACAGTTTAAGTAGCCTTCAAATTAGATCAATTACATTTGGACTAAATCTCTTACACTGGAAGAATTTTTATGAATACTTCTGTATCAGTATTATACAAAATGACGGGAGACTTTTGTTTTTGTTTTTGAAACTCACCTAATGCTGTTCTTGCTGGTGTAGCATCTTTTTTTATCCAAAATGACACCCAGGATAAAACCACAGTCAATATACAGGGAATGTATGTTTGAATAGTGAAGTATCCCATTCTTCTACTCAACTCAAAATATATGGTCATGACAACATAATCACCTGTAATAAAATATTATCAAAAGTAAAACAACTTTCTTTGATTAAAAAATATTTCAGGGAAATAAATTTGTTAAATGTATGACTTGAATAAAAATATACAACTAAAATAAGATCAAATTGTGAAAAAAGGTCAAAATGCTGGTGTTCTTAAACTTAATTTTTATAAACTTTATTTTGTCCATGGCTGTGCAAGATATTTTACTGGTCACTGGAAAAAGACAAACAAACATATTAATTGATAGAGGAGACAGACATGCACATCTATTCTGTGATAGACCATTACTCAATGAGCTATTATTGCTTGAGTCCATCTATATGTTTCATGTTTAAAATAAAGGGAAACATAATCCACCCTCAAGCAGATTCATAGTCATTTTGTTTTTTTAATAGTAACAGAGCTAAACATAAACTTTCATACATAAATTTGTGTAACAATTTTATATTTCTATTTTATAGCATTATTTTAGCATATCAACCTTGTATTTTATGTTTTATTTGATATTTTTATGTTGATCTTATCCTTTCATGACTCCAGCAGTTATGCTGTACCTACCCAGAAAACAAACACAAGAAATCATTTTATGACATTCTGCTTCCTCCCACTAAAACAAAGCCACACCATAAAAGTTATTACTAAAGATTCCATGAGATTCCTTAAAGAGTTGGGAGAGGGTGCACACTTAATGCATTAGACAATTTATTCCAAAATCATTTATTTTGTGTCCTTTCTAGGCAACATCCTGTTGAGAACACGTTTGTCCCCCACCTCCACTTGACTTTCTCTCTTCATCATTCTGGATTCAGCATTTTGGCACCTGAAATTACCATGTCCAGATCTAAACTATCATCTTCCCCCACACCAATGCCCGCTCTTCTCTCACCAAAGTCAACTCCTTCTCACTAGGCAAGGCAGAAATACAGAAGCTACCTGTGACTCCTCCTTTTTCCTTCCTCATTTCCTGCATTGTTCTCAATTCCTTTCCCCACAAGTGCCAGATTCTATTATAGCTCCCATCTGTCTCCTAACAACTAACCCTTTCCCACTCCAGACAATTCTATGTCCTATCATCCAAAAGATCATTCTAAAACACAAATATCCAACATATCTCTCCTTATAATCCTTCACCAACATCTTGCTACTCTTGTATTATTGTCATGAATTTAGTATGGTCTATATCATTCTGCATGCAATGCCCTTCGCCCATTCTGCATGCAATGCCCTGTGCCCCTTGTAAAGGAAGTCTTTGCACTCTGGACATCAGAGTCTCCCCAAGTCCTCAGATATACCAAGACCTTTCCCCCTGGGCCAATAAATCTCTTTTTATCTGCCTAGGTGCTCTTTTCTTTTCCCCTGCATCCCAGTAGTTCCATTCACTTTGAATCTCAGCTTTGAAATCATTTAGTTTACCAAGAAGTCCTCACTATGCCCCTCTCAACAACTCTTATTAATTCATTCCTATAATTGCTAATATATTTTTCAGACCAATAAAATGGTTGGGTTATAGAATATCTATCTCTCCCTTGTTTACCAGTGTTATTTAGTGATAAGCAATCGATTAGTGTTTGTTTAATGAAAAGATGATAATGAAAGTCCTGTTTTTACTTAAGAAGTTAGACAAGGAGACTCTATTGAGTCCATATGAAAACTGGCTTTTAATTATTAGAGGTTTTTGTGGTGTTATCTTGTAGCAGTATTCAGGATGGTTGATAGAAATATCAATACTGAGATCATTTTCCAAGAAACACTTAAAATTCTAAGCAAATTAACATTTCACTGCAAAGAAATAAAAATGATTAACCTGAAGCAATCAAAAGACACAAAGATATTTTTCTAATATGAATGCCAAGTTACATCATTTCCTGGGGAAATATTATTGAATTATGTGTGATACTTAAATGTCTATTAATTTTTACAAAAAATTCAATTAAAAGCCAAGCAGAAAACAAACATAGAAAGACAAAACATAATAAATCAATTATGAACGCAGCCTTGATGGAATATCTGGAGTTGAATAATTTCTTCAGCTACCACTGTAGTTTTATGAGAAAGATAAAGAGGGACAATTTCAGAGCAGACACACAATTCATTTTAGTAAATCTATCTGCTTCTCCCCAACCGGAAGTAAATGGACACTATACCTATGCTCAGCATACATCTTTGCTAACCCAGAGATCTGTTGAATGTCCCATTATCAAGTATGAAAGACAGATGGACTGTCAGGGCCACATTCTGGGGCCTGATACTATAACTCATTTGGTTCTTGGTGAGGTTTTGGGACACACTACAAGAAGCAGTTCCAGAGAGGGAGGAATCATGGGTTCTAGACCATTGCCCCACATAACAACACATAGTCAATGTGCCTCTCATCCTAAATCAGAAGGAAGAGGCCATGGGGTCCTAATTTCCAGATGCATCACATGTTTCTGTATATACATAATTTGTTTGTGTAGGCCTGAGGAGAGGAGATAAAAACCCTCAGAGGATGCAAAAGTTCTTCCCTATATCTGTAAACATGAAAGTTCTTCAGACAGACCAAGTATATGCCTAAGTTATATCTGCCATTAGGTTTAGGGCTCTTGACTGAAAAATAATGTAGTTCTTTCTATCTGCTCCCTTTCTGTAAGGGTACATATACACACACACATACATTCACACACTCAGACACTCACACACCCCCATGGACCCAGTCTGCTCCAACTTGGGTGTGAAGTCTCAGCTCCTGCTTTGTGTTCCTTGGAGGATTTTTTCCTCTCTATGTTATGTTTGAGCCATGCACTCTTATCCATGTGCAGCTTTCCTAATGCAGTTCATGAACTGGACCAGAATGGTTTTCATTTTCTGTTATAAGTTCTTTCCAAACCAAAGGGACATAGTTTTTTGGATGGCTCATGCCAGATAATAGGGATCTAGAATCCACAGAGGTTCTCTAGAGTCTACCCTGGAATGTGCCTGATGCCCACTTCCCTGGGGGAAAATGGAAAAGAAAAAATTGGGGAGGGATTGAAAGGCTTCTCTTTGATCCATCAAAGTAAAAAAAAAAAAATGACCTTGGGCCTAGTGGAATTATAAGAACAAGTCGCTCTTTGCCAATTGTTCATTTATGTGTGTGTATGTGTGTGTTTCCTGAGCCAATGTAAGCTTTTTGGAAGAGCATGTGTAGTACTACTTTTTAGCATGATGGCACATATTTATGAAATACAAATTTATTAAGCTAATACTGTGTTTCATGAAGTTGTAAGTACAAAGTTTAGTAAGATTCAGAGTTCTCTCAAAGCTAAAGACTAGCCAGCCACATCTTCCGTACTCCAGCATTTTTTTCCAGAAAGAATGATTATAAATAATTATTTACTCCATGCTATTGATAACCTTGTTTATTAATTACACCTTATGCACCAAAAACTTCCTTTTAATTTCTCATTTTTAAATTATTTTTTATTAATCTATAATGTATTACTTGCCCCAGGGGTACAGGTCTGTGAATCATTGAATCTCTCTTAACCATCATTGCTATTTCTCCAGATTTGCTCCCCTTCTGATGGTCATGTCTTCTCACTCCTTCACACAGGTATCTCCTTGGTCTCCTTTCAAAATATCCTAAGTTAGTACCCTTCAAAAGCCGGCCAAGACCTGGTTATTAGAAAGCAATATTCAGTTAAGAAAAAAAAAAAAAAAGTTTTTCCTTGGAAGACTTATCTTTTTCTTTTGTTTATGACATGTGTTCATGAATTAAATTCTTCATTTTAAGGAATTAAATCTATTGAACTTTTATGTTATTTTTAGTGCTGTTGAGAATCTGTTTCTTATCCAGAGATCACAAATGTATTATATTGTTTTTGTCTATAAGTTTTGTTTTTATTTTTATATGTAGTTGATTCTTCTTCAAATTAAATTTCTTAAAGTCCATGATTGGCTGTCACAGCATCATTCATTGTCACCCTCAGTCATCCACAATGCCATATAAGTATGGATCTATTTTATTCACATACCCATATATGTATGGATCTGTTTTACATGTCAATTCCAGCACAATTACCACATTATCTTAATTATTAAAACTGGGAGATGCACCATAAAATGACCCTATATTAATAACACACTGGTACAATTCTCTCATCTTGAGTGTGAGAACCTGTGATTTTGTTTTAGCCGATAGAATGTAACCTGTAATTTCTTTGATCAGGTTACTTTATAGAGCAAAGGTGAATGGATTTTGAGATCTGTTGATTTCAAGCTAATCCAAAGAGAAATTATCATTGGACCTGGTTCAGTCAAGTGAAAACCCTTTAAAGAAGGACTGGGACTTTCATGAAAAGAGATTCTCCTTCTGGTCTTGAAGAAGTGAATTACCATTAGCTCTACAGCTACAAAAAATAAACTCTGTGAACAACCTAATGAGTACAGAAGTAGAATCTTCCTTAGGAAAGCCTCCAAATGAGAATGAAGTTCAGCCAGTGTCCCAAATGCAGTCTTATGAGAGCTTAAACAGAGGACCAAGCTAAGCCAAATCCATGCTTTTTACTCACAGAAACTGTTGAATTTTGAATGCTCTGTTTTAAGCCATTAAATTTGTGGTAATCTGTTACTTCAGAAATGAAAAATTAAGGGAGAGTGACATCAACAAGATGGCCAAATAAGATGTCCTTTGAACGTATTCCTCCTCAATAACACTAATTTGGCATCCATCCATATTTGTACCTTTGTGGGAGCTGTGGGATCCAGGTAGGAGACTATGAAATCCTGATGCTATTCAAGAATGAAAACAGCCATTTTAAGAAAACAGACTTTTACTAAGGCGACTGACTCAATGAACCTAAAAACAGCTCTGTTTACCTGAGAACTCATCTACAGCCTCACTTGTCACTGGTTCTTTTGCTAGCACAATATGTCAAGCGACTCATGAAAAGTCACATCTACTGTGTGTTGGGTGATACTCAATCACCCAGCTGTGGACCACAAAATGGCTCATGAACCAGCTCCAGCCATGTGGGTCACTACTGGG